AATGAACTAAGTAAATTGAGAGAAAAGAAGGGTTCTAGAAATGTGAGACTAGAGTGACAGACAGGAAGACCAGGTAAGAAGAGGCAAGGAAGGACAGCAACAGAGAAAGGGACAGGCACCCGAAGCCTCATTTACTTTTGTTTGGGACAACAGATGGAACATAAAATATTCAGAAGCTGAGTGCATCATCTCTTTTGAGAAATTTCTAATCAGCTTAAAAGGGAACTCATAGCTGCCCTATCAGCTTGCAAGGCCCAGGGGAATCTGAGCTGGTAGCTATAAAAATAAACTCCAGCCGACAGGGGCCTCTCCTGGAGCCTTCTTTCTAGAGATCCATCCAGAACAGCTGGGGCCCTTTAAAAACTACCGTCCTGGGAGCTGCTCCCGGCACCCAAACCCTCTGCTCTCCTGGGAACCCCTCCACTGTCTCATCTAGGCTGTCCACATTTCCTAGACAACCTGATGACAATTCTGGGCCAGCTGGCTTTGAATGGGGACCATATTTATACAAGCTCTGTCACATGACACCATCTGATGTGGCCGGGCAGTGGGACAGCTATTTGAAATGCCCAGGACGGCTTTCTAAGCCGCTCACTAAACCACTTCACTCTCGTTCCCCTTTCAGAGGTGAAGATTTTGGAGGCATGTGGCATCTATCTTTCCATCCCAGTCAGCTCAAGGTGGCCAAATGTCCCCCCTCCTTCTCTCAGCCAAGTCTCCCAGTCCGGGACTCCACCTCCCACTACCCGAGCACCCCCCCCCTCTCCTGAGCCCTCACGACCGTTTGCATCTGGGCTCCCCCCTGCGCCCTTCTCAGCTGCTTTGTCGCCTTCCTAATTAGGGGCTCACCAAAGGCAGAACTGCAGAAGAGAGGTGGGGTGCAGCTCTAGGACCAGGCCTGTACGGGATGGGCCCACAAGTGAGGCAAGGCTGCATTTCTCTGTTGCTCAGTGACCCGCCCTTGCGTTTTCTGTTGCTTAAACGTGCTCGTTGACCTGATTTTCCCCACTGCCTGTGCTTGGGGCCTCCCTCCCCTCTTCTGCACATGTGTCCCACAGCCAGAGGGTGACGCTGAACCTTTGACAGTGGGGCTACGCTGTGGCATGTCAGCTGTGAGGAGTGCATGTGGGTGAGGCCACCAACGCACCCAGTTTGCACAGCAGGAAAAGGCCATGTTCTCTGGAACTCAGGGAGCTAGGATTCAGTTGATTTGCAATACTGCAGATGAGAAGCCTGTGGCATTCGAGCAGGAAGTCACTACATAAATCTCCGTTGTTGTTGCTCATCTTTCTTCTGCCCTCCTCACTGAACAGCCTGTCTCCAGACTCAAGCCGCTTGCTTGCTCCTGGCTTGTGATCTCTCTGCTCAGCCTGTTATTGTCTCCACGGCGGACGTGTCCGTCGATTTGCTGTGCTCTCTGATACTCTCCCCTCCCAGAGACACTGGTTGGGACCTCAGGCTCTGCTGACACGGCTGTGGGACGCGTGACCCTAGAGGCTGCCGCTGACCTGACGTGGGCATGCCCTTGAACTCAGCGGAGGCCTCTCATTGGTAGCCTGTCACTGGTTGGCTGGGGAGCAATCACATTCTCTCTCTTTAAAATGGGAGCTGGCCCAGGATAAAACTAGCGGTAAGGAGAAGGGTAATAATGCCAGGACACCATGTAGACATGGGACCGGCAACCACCATTCCTGGCCAGGAGTCTTGTGACAGCTACACAGAGAAAGCCACTCTGCAGAATGAAGTCTGAAGATGGAACACTTTCATCAAGGGAAGTAGAAATGAAAAACCGTGAGGCCCCAGAGAAAGAGGAGATGGAGAGAGCACGATCTTGCCACTCACTCTGCTTCCCTGCTGTGGGTGCACAGAATTCCCCTGTCCACGATGCCCCCCCTTTCCACGTGAGCTAATTTGCGTAGGCTTCTGTTCCATGAACCCAATGATATGTGACTCAGCAGGCCCAAAGAACCTAGACTTTTCTGAAATCAGATTAATAATAGCATTTAATGAATATTTACTGTGTGCCCTGTCTAAGCATATGGTAGATATCAATACATTGCATGTTTAAATTTTATTCATGAAGAAATTGAGGCACAGAATGATAAGGTCACTTGTTCGGTGTCGCGCAGCAAGAGATAAAAAGAATAGGAAGTTCCACCCAGGCCTCCCTGATTCCAAAGCTAGGATCTTTCCACAATATTTATTGCATGCCCTTCTGCTACTTAAAGACACAGCTGTCACTGAGACCCTGAACGGGGAGAAGGACTGGCAGAAAGGAGGCTGCAAGATGAACCCACGCTAATTCTGCAAGGCGGGAGGACTAGATGAGGTCAGTGTTTCCCAAAGTGGAGCCTGTAACACTCATGGGGCACGGAATGATTTTCATGCAGGGAAACTGAATCACAGCATAAAAACATCATCCCCGTTTGAGTTATTCTTTAATTCTCCTAAGTAAGGCAAAGAGAAAGTCTCAGATTGGTTGTTGGTATGTTTTACTTCTGTTACTTGGCAATTTTCCTTGACAACTTCTTGAAAGTTTCTAATTAGCAAGAGTCAATCTTAGAAGTTCTCACCATACACACAAAAATCCTAACTCTGTGAGGTGACAGATGTTTTAAGTAACCTCATTACAGTAATCATTTTGCAATATATACAGATAGAAAATCACTATGATGCATATCTTAACCTACCCAATGTTACATGTCAATTATGTCTCAATAAAACCGGGAAAATACATAAATAAATAATAAAACTTTTACATTTGTTTCCATTCTACCGGTTTTTTACCATTACCTTCTATTCATAGCAAGTGACATTGGTTTTTCATTATTTAAATAATATTACACTTCCTTTTGAAGTAAGTTTATTTAAGTAAAAAAATCGAGTTGTACCAATGATGGTTTCTCTGTGCCATGTACTTTGCATGTCATTTCTGATTTTCCCAGCAATTCTAAGAAAAGAATCATTATCTCTATTTTATGGCTGAGGCAATGAGGGACCACAGAGTAAGTGCCCAGTAAGAGACTGAAGCAGGATCTGGAACAATTTGCCCGATTCTGAAGTGCCTGTTCTCCACACTGCCGCATGCTGCCTCCTCACCACTGGAATCCAACACCTGAACCCACACTCGGGAAACAGCTCCAAGTTGGCCACTTGGCGGCGTTCGCTCGGACTTTCGCCTCGCAGCCTCTCTGCTGCACTGGACACGCTCTCCTTTCTGGGCTCCTCTCCCGGTTTGTCTTTACCCACCTTCTCCTCTCCCCTTCCTGAACATGCTCCTCCTCTCCCTGTGTCTTAGCTCCATCTTTCATTCTTGCTCCAGACCACGGGTCCCAATCAGATTCGCGTTACAGCACTAGATCTACCTCTGTGGGTAAAGTCAGCACGGCCCCTGGCTGCATTCTGTACGTGAGGAAGCAGAGGCTCCCAGAAGTACTGGCATTTACCAGGGCAAGTCAGGTGAGCAGCCGAGACGTGAGGACGTGTGGACCGAGACACTTGGGCTCTGAGCAAGATGGAAGGAGACTTGGAGCTCCAGTGACTTGGGAATATGTGTGCACGTGTGTGTGTATGTGAGGGTGCTTCTTATGTAGGGGCCGAATATAGGGATGGGATTGGGGGTCAGAGGAGAAAAGAAAACAAACGACAACTCTAATATAAAAGAGCAGCCCCAGGGGCGCCTGGGTGGCTCAGTCGTTAAAGCATCTGCCTTCGGCTTGGGTCATGATCCCAGAGTCCTGGCATCGAGCCCCACGTCCAGCTCCCTGCTCAGTGGAGAGCCTGCTTCTCCCTCTCCCACTCCCCCTGCTTGTGTTCCCTCTCTCGCTGTGTCTCTCTCTGTCAAATAAATAAATAAAATCTTAAAAAAAAAAAAAAAGCGGCCCTGGGGCCAAGGTGAGAAAATGTCAGTACAGAACTTGCAAAGGGACAGGGGAGTCTGTGGGTTTTAGGAAGTTGGTAAATTATACCAAGTTGCAAGTGTTCTTTTCCTGCCTTACACTCCCTAATGATCATCTCCAGGCTTCAGCTAAGTTTCAGGTGACATGGGGAAGTGCCCACACTGGGCTGGGCCAGCAAAGGGCTGCTGGGCTCTCTGCATAGTTCCAGCCTGAGGGCAGAGTGGTGGTTGCTGCTGGTCTGGGGTCCAGAGTGTCCGGAGCCAAGCCAGCATGGGTCTTTGGTAGAAGCAAGGAGCCAAGCAACAATGAGAAGTAGTACAGAGTAGACCAGAGCAGAGAAGGTCCTGAGATCCAAAGCCTTTTCCCCAAATATAACAGAAGTAGCAGCCTTGAGTAAGGAGGGGGGCCTGAACCCTGCTATCCACTGACAGTGGCGACCTGGGAGGCCTCCTGTGCCATCCTGTCTTTCTCTCTCTCTCACACACACAGAGGTTATAACTAAGGACTTGGGGGGTGCCTGGGTGGTTCAGCCGTTAAGCATCTGGCTTCGGGTCAGGTCATGATCCCAGGGTCCTGGGATCGAGCCCCCTATCCGGCTCTCTGATCCGCGGGGAACCTGCTTCTCCCTTTGCCCCTCCCCCTGCTTGTATTCCCTCTCTCGCTGTCTCTGTCAAATAAATAAATAAAATCTTAAAAAAAAAAAAAATAAGGACTTGGAAGACGAGTTGCCTGGGAACCAGCCACACCCCACTCCAGTTCTCCAAGGCCTAAACTGGAGAGGACAGGGTCCCCTCAACGTTGAGTGAGTTCATCCACATGGTACAATAGGAGAGTTTTTAGAGTTAAAATCTTTCAAGATTGAACTGCCGACACTATATTTAACGTCTTTGGATCTCAGTTTTTTCTTATCTGTAAATGGAAATAAAGATACTGACCTCACAGTGTTCCTGTGAAAATCAACTGAGGGAACAATGGAAGGTGTGTGACCCTCAGGGCCTCGGTGATGTCGCTTCACCTGCTGCCCTGGCCCTGGCCTCCTAACCCCTTCCCCAGACCAGCTCCCAATACCACGGGAGATGATCCTGGAAGGTCAGATCCTACCTTTGGTTAGGGAGTGAATCCCGAGCTTGACTTGGGAAAAGTTCCCACTTCCAATTTCCCCTCGGATTCGGTAGAAGCCAATCCGTTTCCCCAACGTGATCTCTCTCACCACCTTCTCATCCTGGGACATGTCCTGTGTCAGCTTCTCAAAGGGTGTCAGCTGACAGGGCTGCCCCTCCTCCTCGTCCTTGCAGCGCTCCCCCGGACCGCCGCTTTCCACGCTCTCCCGCCGATCCCACCTGGCATAGTGGGGTGTCACCAGGCCGCCTCCATTCGCGTACACCGCAGTCATCGTCCACCACAGGCTCACATCTCCGTCTCGGCCGAGAGGCACCGATGGAAGGCCACGTGAGGAGCAGCGCCAAGGGCCCAGGGCGTGGGTGCGGGGCGTTAGGGCCTGCCGGAGCCCCGTGTCCCTGGCAGCTGGCCTGCCGGAGGCACGTAGTCTCGTGGCTTCAGGGAGAGGAGGGCGGAGGCGAACAGGCGTGCAGAGCTTGCCCAGCCAAGCCAAGAGCTGCTCCCCTCACTGCAGACATTTCGCACCTTCCTTCACAGTGCACTGCCCAGCTCTCACTGTCCCAGCACACACACATCCAGTTACCATAACCACTTCCCTGATCGGGCTCCAGGAACCTTCTGGCTGCCCATGCGGTCCGATGCTCTGTGGTAGGTGACCGCGTCCCAGGACAAAGGCTCCAGTTTGCTATTTCCTTTGATGGCCCGAGAATCTTCCACTCTGGTGTGTGAGAGCCCCAGGGAGGCCCCCAGGTCCTTGCTGCTGGCCTTCGGCTCCCACCTCCTTCATTTTGCACTTCTCCTGCTGGCGAGTCACAGGCCCCGGGGACCCAATGATCTGGACCCCAGGAAAGAAGAAACTTGCAAATCAGCCTTCTGGTCACACGGGCTACCAGAGAAGGATTAAGTCCCTGCAATGTCACTTTAGCCGGCCTTTATTTAGATGAGCCTTCCTCTAAGCCGTGAGCTGTCTCAAAAATTTGGCAGGTGCTGATTCATCCTAAGAACAGAGAATAAGAAATTTTATTAGCCTACGCTAATGTACGGTACAAGATTTATAATGAAATGAAACTGCCTTGTAAGCATCAATCTAAAAAAAAAAAAACACTACACAAATTTCAGTTATGATTCTCAGTAGTAAATGCTTGATTATATATGATTTACTAAGAAGTAAATGTATACCCCCCCCCACTCCTCAATCTACATTTTAGAAAAGCCCTCACAGCCTGTAAATATTTTTAGCAAAACTATTTTTCTGTTTCTTGATATTTAGGAAAATATGCATGTTGCCTTGAATTGCTTTAAAGCCAGACTTTTAAAATAATAATATGGTACTAATGATGATAAAGATTTCCTATTAATATCAGTTTTCAAAAATTCTTACATTGATTCAAATAACAATGTGTTATATTTCCTGTTACACTGTATGTTCTTGTACAATTTTTCCTATATTGGTTGCTCCCACTCTTTATGTGCTATTTGATAACAAAGGCTAATTTTTCTCCTAGGCTTATTTTCTGGGTATTTCTGATCAGGTGTTAGCCTCCAGGCCTGAGAGGTCATTCTGAAGGTGCAGAAACCGAGGGTAGTGTTGCTGGAGGGCTAAAGCCTATGGCATCCTCAGTGAAGAAATACTGTCCAGCAGGAACATCTTCATGACTTTTTCTACTGCACCCTCCAGTAAAAAATAATCACTTTCTGAATTCCCACTGCCCTTTGTACATTTTCTAAAATGCCTTATATCCATGAAAGTGGGCACTGGGTTTAATTCATCTGTATGTTTTGCTCCCCTCCTCCCTCCCTCAGCATGGAGCCCAATGTTCTACATAAAGAAGGTGTGTTGAACTTGATTTTTTGGACTTGAGCATTCTGAACCAAAACCCGAGTGAACACGAGAGATTACCTTGGAAATGTGAATTCTGAATTCTGTTTGATGATATCACATTATTACAATTAAGTACAGAGTTGCTTACATTATTATTGTGGTTAAATATGGGGTTGCCAAATAAGATAAGGACAGGAAAGAGTAAACTGCCACCCAGCTCTGTTCCTCTTTTGGGACAGGGAGACAGGAAGCTGGAAGAAGGGTAAGGGATAAAGGTTTAAAAGGGACCAGGTATTAGTAACCACACACATCTCTAGGTTAGAGTCTGATTAGGATGTTTTAAAAGATGTTCTTAAGATAAAAGATCCTTAATTAAGTTGAGGAAAATCTAGTCACTGGTTCTTAAGTTTTCTGGGGTCACGTGCTCCTTTGAGATTCTCATGGAATCTATGACCCAATCCCCTAGAAATAAAAAGCATGCACACATAATTTGCATCCAATTTTAAGGGGTTAACAGACCCTTTGAAACCCATCCTCAGATTAAGAATCTCTATGAAGATCAAGTGGCCCTACATTTCCTCAGATCCCTGGCAGTTACCACACAGATGAGAAGTGGAGTAACATTAATTATAACATTATAATTCTGCAGCTTTATAAACTAATCACGCTGTCCCAACATTTACTTGAATTATCTCAGAAAGCTTATTTCAGTCCATATTTCCAAGGCCAGAGGTACCTTCTACTGGCTGTTAGGATTCCTGGCCCACCTTCTTGTGGAGGTGAAAGCTTAGTCAGAATTCCACCATCGCAGCACTGGGAGTTGTTACTGGGCTGCTTAGAAATGCAAAGTCTCCCCCATTTCTGCTCCTTCCAAAGGATCAGCTCTCCCCAAGACCCGCACCTCACCCATGCCTCCTGGAGCCTGCTCTGACTCCCCATGCTTGTCCAGGACTTTTCTGCTTTCCTGGGTCCCACGTGCTCCTGATTTGGGCTCTGTTTCTTGAACTCCATTCAAGCCAGGGATTTACAGTTGGGATTTAGACTTGCTACCCAGATTAACTTCAGGCGCCCCCAGGAATTCCTCCCCTCTCTCCTCCTAATTTGACACAGAGGGTCAGGCACGATTGTCAAGTGTCAGGCTTTATCTTGCATTGCATACCCTCTACCTGCAAATTAAATTTCTTACACAATGGCCTTGAAACCAACTGTCTTGCCTTAATGGCTAAGGAGATAGTTAATCTTCTGTTAAGATCAGATAAAAGACGTTTTTGCAATTTTGAAAATGTTGGGGTGGATTTGTATTGAGGATGAATTGCAACTTGCTGAAACATGTAGCAAGCCAACTAGAAAAATTTTGAACCCCTAACTCATCCTACTCCTAAACAAATTCCAAATAGGACACCTGAGTAAATGTAAAACAAATGAAACCATAAAATATTAGAAAAAATTAAAAAAAAATTTTTATGATCTCAGAGAAGGCCATAAAAGAAAACATTAGATTTGACTACATAAAATGATAACTTTGTTTGCCAAAAGGTAGCATAAACAAATAAGGCAAATTATTATTATTTTTTAAGTAGGTTCCATGCCCAGCGTGGAGCCCAGTGTGGGGCTTGAACTCACGGCCCTGAGATCAAGACCTGAGCTGAGATCAAGAGTTGGACACTTAACTGACTGAGTCACCCAGGTGCCCCAAATTTTAAAGCAAATTAAATGACAAACTGGAAAAGCTTGCCAACATATATGATAGACAAAGTTCTGATTTTTAGATAAACGATTTTTACAAACTGATTAGAAAAATACCAATATCTCCCCCCAAAAATGATAAAGAACATAAACAGACATTTCACAGAATATACAAATGGGTCTATAATATAGACAAAGATGCTCAGCCTCACTTACAACCAAAGAAATGCACATAAAACTACACTGAAATTAGATTTTTTACCAATAAATTTGGAAACTATGAAAACTTTTTTTTCAAGGTTTTATTTATTTATTTGACAGAGAGAGAGAGAGCACAAGCAGGGAGAGCAGCAGAAGGAGAAGCAGGCTCCCCACTGAGCAAGGAGCCCAATGCGGGGGCTCGATCCCAGTCCCTGGGATCATGACCTGAGCTGAAGGCAGATCCTTAACCGACTGAGCCTTCCCGGGCACCCCTACAAAAACGTTTTTGATAATGCACCGGCGAGAGAGGCTTTGGGGAAACAGGGACTCTCATTCATTGCTACTGAGAGTATAAAGTGGTACAAATGCTTGGAGGGCCATTGGGCTGTAACTAGGAAAGTGCAAGCGTACGTACCGTTTGCCTCAGTAATACCACTTCTAGAGTTAACTTATGCACGCTGCACAAAAATATACCTATTTCTAATATAAGGATTGCTAGATTGATATACACTACTGCATTGTTTTGCAGCAAAAACTAGAAATTGTGTTATGTGACCATCAGTAGGGAACTGGTTAAATAAACGACCATCTGTATATAATGGATTACTATGCACTTGCGGAAAAGAATGAGTTACAATATCCAAAAAGTACTGTGAAGAGATCAGTAGAATATATATAAACGTGATGTCAGGAGCGAGAGAGAGAGGAAGGCACCCCTAAGGACCTGCATCTGAGGAAAAGGACTGGGCTGGGGTCCAAAGTGAGAGAAAGGTGTACTTCTCACTATTTACTCTTTTACCTGATTTACATTTTTCCCATGTGCATGTATTTACACTTAAAAAAGAAAACAATTAAAAATATGTAATGTGTTGTCATCTTACACAATAAGTTTGCTTTATTTTGGTTATGCAGAGAAATTACTACACCTAATTCTCTAATATCTAATGGATTGTTTTTTAAAGTCAAAACATAATTAGGAATTCTGATTAAATACAGAAAATTTTATACTTTCATTTATTTCTACTTCCTTCCAAAAACCACAATAGGAATAGGAGGAAAAAGGGCATAAACTCACAAGGACAAAGAGAATAAGAGACAGGAGAGCAGCCGATGTGAGATGTCAACATGTTTCTATGGGGTTGGAAAGCAAATTGAGGAGCAGTGAGTAATTTGGCAAAGACAGTGACAAAAACTGCAACGTCTATCTCGTTGACATGCCACCGAGATTCACCTTTCTGAACACTCGAAAGACTTCAAACTCTGAGAGACCAAGTGCCTCCACGTTTGGAGGAATGAAGCAGACCAAAACACACGGGAATTGTTTGAAATGTGGAGCAGTTAAGATCCCCAGCCCTTTTTCAAAGCCAGCTTGTTACTTTCTCCTCCTACCCACAGCCCAGCTCAGGAGTGCAAGGCCCAGGACAGAGGGTTCAGTCAGACTCCGAGTTGTGGGGTCCCCCATCGCCTTCTCTCCGTACCCCCGCACTCTGAGTTTCCAGAATGGAGAGAAACACGTGGAGAATCTTCCAGGTAGGGGATTCCTCTTTTCTTTCTTTTTCTTTCTTTCTTCTTTCTTTCTTTCTTTTTCTTTCTTTCCTTTCTTTCTTTCTTTCTTTTTTCTTTTTCTTTTTCTTCCTTCCTTCCTTCCTCTTTCTTTTTTTTTTATTAAGTAAACTCTATCCCCAACGTGGGGCTCAAACTCATGACTCTGAGATCAAGAGTCACCAGCCAGGTGCCCTGGATTCCTCTTTTGGATAAACTAAATAGCTCAAGAGGAAAGATCTCCTGAAACCAGTATTTGCAGATTCTTCAACACAAAAGCTGCCTGACCACCTGGTGCCCCGGTTCACTTGCAGGCAGGGGGCTTCCAATCAGATTTTAGTGCCTTCTGCTTTGAATGAATGTCCAGTCGAGAAGCACCAGACACCCGAGGAAAGGCTCCAAAATGAAAGAAAGAAACCATCCTCAATCAAAACAACAAAAACCAAAAGGAACATGAAACAGAGCAATGCAGGAAGCAGAAGACCAAAGAAAAGATATTGCATCTATAAAAAACAGGACAAAATGCTAAAAGAAACAAACACAAACCCTCAGAGAACCAAAAAGAGCTCTTTTTGAAAGTGAAATTAAATAATTTGATTGAAGATTTGTTAAAAAAAAAATCTAGAAGACATGAACAATAGAGAAAAAAAGAAAATTAGGTAATCAACTCAGGAAATCTAACATCTAATTATTAGAATTTCTAGAGTTGCACTATTGTATCCCCAGTAAAGTAAGACATGGTGCCT